TATCTAAATACTCACATTTTTCTTCACAGTATTTCATTTCCTCATTTATTTCAACGGAAAAGTGATTACTTCAACTCATATCTAATATGAAAAATGGTAAATCTGGGCACTGGTGGCTCATGTCTGTAATCCTAGCAACTGAGACATGAGGCTGAGAGGTGAGGATCGAGGTTGGAAACTAGGATAGGCAGACAAATCCAAGAGACTATTGTCTACGATTAACCAATAAAACGTGGTCAACTGCCAGAAGTGAAGGCATTCCTCAAATGATAGAGAACCAGTTCTGAGTAAAAAAAAAAATACCAGCACTAGCACAAGTCCTTGAGTTCAAACCCCCATACTTATGTAAGAAAGGGCAGAAACATGCATGCACATATCCCATTAATGCACTTGAGTGTGTCAGCACATATGGACCTTCCCCAGACATATAATCAGGTACCCCAAGATTATTCATAAACCCGGATTCAAAGAGCTCCACCCCTCCAATTGACAGACAAAAATACAAAATATCATCAGGTATTGTTTGTTGATTTGTTTCTAGGTGCTTTGTATCTTGTTCTCAACATTTTAGTTTTTGAATATCAAAAAGGAAGTATTAAATTTTTGTAAAGTTCTGTGGTATCTAACAAACTATGAACAAACTATAATAAATGGAGATAAAACACCTTATATCCCAAATAAAGAGTAAATATAACCTTCTCAAGGTCAGGTTCAAAGAGAACTGAGAAAATTGCAGATGCAAGAGAGAGTGAAATATGCTGCTTCAATATCACAAATATTTTTTTTCACCTCTGCTTTTTTTCTCAGCCTTCCTGGGTCTAAAATGTTCCTCACATCTAATTCCCACATATCCAGAGATAAGCATTCAAAGTCCAAGGGAAATACAATTCCAACTTGAAGAGCTCTCTGATATGAAACTGGAATATCTTCTGATTTATCTTTCTCCTTAACTTGTTGGCGATTCCCTTCATTTATAACATATTTAAAAGAAGGTCTTTTATTCCGAGCTTAAAGACACAATAACCTAAGAAGGGGAGGAAGTGGGGATGGGAGGGAAGAGGGATGGAGCTGGGATAGAGATTCATTATATCCATGGGAATTGTGCTAGACTTGAAGAAAAGAGGCATGCATACTTAGAGTACAACATGAAGACACACTGCAGTATGATGATGTCACTATGGAGGAAGTATTAAATAACCTCACCAAGGCTTCTTCCTGGATACAGCTTTGAAAGCAATGGAAGGATGGCAGACCTTTTCAGAAGTGAAAATTAGGCATCCAAGGAAAAGGAAAATCACAGATCACAAAAATCCAAATTTTACCATTCTTTGTTGTCCTCTATGAAAAAAAAACATATTTCCCCCTAAAAGTAGTAGTAGTTGAGGGGGATGCTGATGACGCACGCCTGTAATCTTAGCTATTCAAGAGGCTGAGATCTTAGCAGGTGGTTCAAAGTCAGTCTGAGTAGGAAAGTCTATAAGACTCTTACTTTCAATTAACCGATGATAACTCATAAGCGGATGGAAATACGGTTCAAGTCATAGAATGTGAGCTTTGAGTGAAAAGCTAAAGAACATAACCATGGTCTGAGTTCAAGCCCCATATCAGCACACACACACACACACACACACACACACACACACACACACACACACACACACATGCACACACTCAAAGATCAACATCGATTACATCAATATGACATCCGCCTGCTCAGAGCAGAAGCCTAGAATTCACTCTTGATTCTGGACTATCCCAAACTCAGATCATTCAGTTACACATTTCTGTAAACCAGACTATTCTTAAATACAACTAAGAATTTGCTAGTGAAGGGAAATTATTTGACACGACACACATCTCCTTAAAAAGATGAGGGATCGAATCACATCTAGCCAACAGGAGAGCGTCAAACCTCAGACATTCTTCTCCATAGGAAAGCTTCTAGCAGATTGCGAGCATGAGAGCCTGTGTAACTGAGGTTTAGATTCTCCACAAATGACAGCCTGGATGCATGGAGATAATAAGATGCACTGACGGCACAGATGTTACGCTTGTGTCTTCACACAAGCCTCCTCTCTGACTTGGGCCAGTCTGCTGCTGATTCATGAAGCAGAGCTTTCAGGGACCTCCACAAGGGGTAACTCTGTGGGTCCTTATGGGATTTATGGAAGTGAACACATTCCAATGTGTCATTTATAGTTCACTCATAAGTCAGTCTTGTGTAGTTGAAATTTCTCATTCCTAGAGTAACATTAAGATGAGTGAGGTTTTCTGGTAATATTTGAAATTCTGATTTTTTTTCTGGGGATCAGAGCTGGGACTTTAACAAGATTGGCAATTTATTTTTGTGTGCTGATACTAGGTTATGAACTCAGGGCCACACATCCTTGCTTGGCCTTTTTCTGCACATGGTCAGCTCTCTACCACCTGAGCCACATCTCTACTTCTGCTTTTTGCTGGTTAATTGGATATGTGTCTCATGGATGTTTATGTCCAGGTTGGCTTTGAATTGTGATCCTGATATCTCAGCCTCCCAAGTACCTAGGATTGCAGGTGTGAGTCACCAGTGCATGGCAAGGCTGTCATCTCTCATAGCAGGGCAAATGACATTGCCATTGTGCTGTCCACTTTTCATAAAGTCTCGGTGACACCAACGCTACTGCCTTCCATGTCGGTAGAGCATGTGCACCTTTCATCTGGAGTCAACCCATAACACCTGCATTCTGCCTGCTGTAAATCCATCAACGGCTGCTCCAATTATGCACTGGCTTTTGCTAGTTTGGCTCATAAATGTCTGTTCTTCCAAAGACACATGCAGCTCCGTGTAGATGCTCAACACACATCACTGAGAAAAAGGTCAAAGATGTAAGATGATTCACTGAGCCACTCAGCATCTGGTCTTACCTATCAGAGAGACAGGCTGTTTTCATTTATTTAATTTTTATTTTGAAGTAGAATGCATTAATACCAATGGAGAATTTCATTGTGCTGTTTCCATAATGATGGATATAGCATGCATGTTGAACAATTTACTTTGCAGTTTTGATTTCCTCCTTAAGAGGTCTATGGGAGGAGAGTTTATAATTTAATGGGTATGAAGGTGTAACAGGTCTCAACAAACTCATTCTTCTCAACCAAGTCTCTGAAGACATTGTAAAAGGAAATTTATGCGACATTAACATGGCAGGTTAGAGAGAGAAGGACTAAGATAAGGAGCAGAGATATGTGTTCCGTGTTGAGAGGACATATATAAATGTATATTATATAATGTAAAGTATATATTATTATTATATGTTGCATTATTATATTATTGTATTATATAATGTATATTATATAAAGTATATAAAATGCATCATATTATATATAATGTATATTATATAATATACATTATATAATGTGTGTTTATATATATGTACGTATATATAGATTTGTGAGAATTAAATGAATTTATATACAACATGTGCCTTAACAAGTAAAAATAACTATAATCTATTTTGATATTTCCAGTAACTAATACAAAGTGAATGAAGGACCTGACCTAAAGAAATAATATTTACATAATATAAAAGATTTGAGGTCACCGTGGTGAAAATCATCTGTGAATTAAACCTTGAAGGTCAAGTCATGGGCCTGCATTTTTAATTGTGGGATAGTAATTCTATCCTCATCCACATTACCATTTGTAAAAGAAAGAGAGCACAGAAGCCCAGGGCTGCTTTTTGATGGCAGCATGAGACTCGCCAGGCACAACAATTACTGACAAAACACTTCTCTATGAATCAAAGGAAAAGAAAATAAGAAAGTATGCTTATTCAAACTGCAAGTGTATTGCAATAGGTTGTAGAAAGGATAGGCTATTGAGATATATACTAGGTAGGTAGACAAGTAGATAGGTTGGTAAGTAGGCAGGTACAAAGGTAGCTGATTGATGACAGGTGCTAGATAGAGATATCAGGGAGTTTGTAGAGATTCATTAATTTCAAGATGTCCATAAATAAGATGTATGCTTTGGATTTTAATGATAATATAAAGTCCAATGCACTTAAAGTATTTTCTCGGACAGATAGAGTCTTCACGTGGTTTCATATCCAATTTGTTCCAATTTTACTGAAATCCCAGAAGTCCCTTTGGACTACTTTCTACAATAGAAGGGTTTCAAATTGAAACAGGCTTCTAGGAAGAGAAGCATGTGTCTATTACAGCTATTCAGGAGACAAATAGGAGGAAGATCACAGTACCAGGCTAGCCTAGGCAAAAGTTACTGAGAACTCACTTCAATCAGCAAATCAGGCAGGTTGGCATGCATCTGCAATCCCAGATATTCATGAAACATAGGTACAAAGACCATGGTCCAAAACCCTATCTGAAAAGTTAGTAAAAAGGCTAAGGATTTGACTCCAAGGGTTGAGAACCTGCCTCCCAAACATGAGGCCCTGAGTTCAGTCCCGAGTCTGCATTTCTTCCTCTGCATGATGTCAGGTCTGACTCCACTTCTGACACTCTCAGTTTTGCTTCTATAATGCTGTCTACCTTTGCTCCCTCTCTAGATGGTTTATGAGTTTTTAGTAAGGGTTGGAGAACCATCATCTTGATTTTGCAGTTCAGCTTAAAATGTAATATTACTGCTCCTTTCCCGCGTTTGTGTGTGTTACTCCCTTCCTCCATCAGTGTTTATGAGTAAAGGAAGAAAAGAAAATGTTAACTTGTAGTAGAGCCGAAAGTCTCATAGTACTTACCACTTAGTTCAGACACTGGGCTCTCTTTTATTAAAAGCACACAATGATCTCTTTTAGCTAAAAGCACATGGTGTACTTTCAAACACCTCTAAATCAAGAATTCAAGAACAACTCGACTAATTGTCCATTGCTTTTAGGCTAATGATAGGCTAGGCTTTGTTGTTTTTCCTTTTCGCAGCAGTTTAAAAGGAAAAGAGAAATAAGGGGAGAAGGTGAAGCGGGTTTCCCGCGGGTGGATGCACGGGGCTGGGGACCAGTTACCACCTGCACACACCACGCCCTCCAGGTCTTCACAGCGCCGGTCGTCACATTCGCAGGTCTTCCCGTAGACTCTGCTGTCTCCAGGGGGGTAGCAAGTGCATTTGCCACATTCACATTTGCCTGAGAAGTATCAAGAGAAAACATACTGGTAAGGCAAGGGTATAGTCTCAGAGAGATCTTCTAGAAAGCAGGTATAGCATGAAACTCAGATCTCTTGCACAGTTCAGCCGATGATTTTTCTGACCTCTTTACCGCACACTGAAGGTCGAGCTTTCACCTTCCTACCATACATTGAAGGTCAAGTCCAAATGCTCAGCTGGTGAGGAGCTAGAGGGAGGATGGCTGGCTCAGACATCACTCATATTTGCTGTTCTACTTTTGCTTGACTCTCCTGTGGACACAAAACACTCTGCCTGTTTCATATTCAATTTAGTTTGATGGTACCATTTAAAATAATTGAACGGCTTTATGTATTTTGACCTGACGGAATGTAATGTGGTTATTTAAAAGAAATCTTCTTATTTGGAACTAATCTTCACATAAAAGAAACCATTCTTTAGAGATTACTACTTTAAAGATTATTTGTTGTCATTTTGTAATGTATGGAACTCAATTTAACATCAAGTATTATAACAAGATGTATGACACATGACCCGAACATTTTATAATTTTTAACTTAAAGTTTAAAAACCATTTTTGGAGGGAAGTAAGATGCCAGATTAGTTCATAGTTAGAGTATATCTTAACTGGTAAGATTATAATGATTTTGTCGCTACTTCTTAGATTATAACTATAAGACAAGCATTATAATTCCCTTGCTGATATCATTTTGGTTTTATGATAGCACACATTGTCCAATCTTATTACCATTATTTTACAAAACAGGAAACTGAGACATACTAAGGCCAAATAACTGTAAACCAGTTAGTAAGGAACTAAACTGACAACCCAACCATTCTCATTAAACTGTGCACATCAACATTAAGTCACACTGAATCTTACACTCATAATTTAGTATCACAAGGCTTTATGAGAAAGAAAATTCCTTTTGTCTCAGAAATCACCCTGGTTTGCCAGAAATTCAGCTGTGCAAAAGTTCCCCAAGACATCTGTTATTCTCCATCATTAGCCTGACCGTCGAAATTATACACCCACTGAAATGATGCTAAGGTGCTTCAAAGGATGACACCCCAAAGCTGTTAGTCATTCATTTTCTTGTATTTTGTTAAAGAAATTTGGAGTGGCTTACAGAGGAGAGAAAGACTAGTATTTAGAATCATATAATTTCAGAGCCATAATTAAAGATCATCTTAGGCAGTGATTCATCATCTTTCTGGCAGCAGTGGTGGGACCAGCATCCCTTTGAAAGTAACGACATTAGACAAGGTTTTTCTGGTTGACAGTTAACAATTCATCCTTTATATTTGGAGATAGTTCTACAATCAACAGATGGCAGGAACTCTCCTCCAGTAGTATTCCTCCTGCCTTCCCCTGGTTGGACAGAATGGGGACACAGTGGAACACCTTGGGGAAGGCTCTATGGTGCCACAGAGTGAGCCATGGAATGGTATCACGTGTCCACAGCACAGCTGGAGCCTTCAGTAGCAGGGACAGGTGCTCAGCCATTCTTGGTGTTCACAGGCTGTTGTTACAGGCACTGATGGTGCATGGTATTCTAGGCCTCCACTAACCATCAAATTCTTTTTATCTTAGTTAATGAATTTGCTTTCTGAAACTTGCAATAAATAAACTTCCCTGGGGGAGGTATGGTCAGGAGTAAACAGGTATCTGCCACAAGGTACAAATTTCCAACTAGACAAAGTTGTGAGTTCGAAAGCAGTCCTATACAACAAGACACCTATAATCAATAACCATGTATTGAATTTGTGTTCTCACCACCAAACATTGATAAGTGTGCACAATATGGTGAACCGTGCTTTAGTTGAGCCATTATGTATAATTAATATATACTTCAAAGCATTATGTCGGCAGAAGGATCTAAGATGGTGGGTGAGAAGCATCCACAATTTTGACAAATGAGAAGAGTCAAGTAACACAGGAGAAACTATGCTCTAAAGAAAAGAGAGGAAGTAGAGTTTGAACAGCTTGGTACTGGCACAAGAACAGACCTCAGGACCAATGGAATAGAATTGAAAACCCAGAAATGAACCTACAGACTATAACCAACTAATCTTTGATAAGGGAGCTAAAAAAATGGAATGGAAGAAAGAAAGCCTCTTCAGTAAATGGTGCTGGCAAAATTGGTTAACTATTTGTAGAAAACTAAAGCTAGATCCTTATATATCACCCTGCACCAGAATCAACTTCAAATTGATCAAAGACCTCAGAGTCAAAGCAGACAGTCTGAAAACATTATAGGATGCAATAGGAGAAACCCTAAGTCTCCTGACCCAGAAACACAACAAATCAAAGAAAGCTTGGTCAAGTGGATTGCATAAAATTGTAGAGCTTCTGCATGGCAAAGGACATAGCTAGCAAGATAGAAAGCCCACGGATTGGGAGAAGATCTTCACTAGCCATACAACAGACAAGGGTCTCATATCTAAAATATAGCTGGAACTCAAAAAATTAAATCCCCCAACAACAAATCCTCAAAGAAACAACTATCCAATAAATAAGTGGGCTAAAGACTTAAAGAGAGAACCTTCTCTGAAGAGGAAAGAAGGATGGCCAATAGACACATGAAGAAATGCTCAACCTCTCTAGCCATAAAAAAAGAAATGCAAATCAAAACAACATTGAGATACCACCTCACCCCAGTTAGAATGGCTACAATCAAGAACTCTAATAACAACAGATGCTGGAGGAGATGTGGACAGAAAGGAACCTTACTTCATTGTTGGTGGGAGTGTAAACTTGTTCAACCACTTTGGAAAGTAATATGGAGGTTACTGAAAAGACTCCACATAGAGCTCCCCTATGACCCAGCAATCCCACTTTTGGGCATTTACCCAAATGTTTACAAACAAGACCACACTAAAGCTACCAGCACAACTATGTTTATTGCAGCATTATTTACCATAGCTAAGATATGGAACCAACCCAGATGCCCCTCAGTAGATGAATGGATCAAGAAAATGTGGTATAGACACACAATGGAATTCTATGCCTCCATCAGAAAGAATGACATTGTCCCATTTGTTAGGAAATGGAAAGACTTGGAAAAAATTATATTAAGTAAAGCAAGCCAGGTCCAAAGAAACAGTTCCCATTGTTTCCCTTATTTGCAATAACCAGTGTATGTCTGAGTCAAGCAGAAAAGTTCAGATAAATTGATGTTAGAGTAATGAACCCCAAGATAAGTATTCAAATGATTTTTTCTTTCATGCAATTTTTTTCTAACATATTTATAGGATTTCTTTGTTGCTTTGTATGTCCCTCTCCCACGGTATAACCCCTGCTTTCACTGTATTTGATGTTGGTATAATTTGTGGAGGGGAAGGGAAAAAACAAATTGTTTAAATAGGGATACAGGTGGACCCATTGCAACAATGAGATGTACAAGTCGTTATGTTGAAAACAAACTTTACAACTTTGGTGTGGGGTTGGGGGGGGGAGATGGGAAGGGGAAACAAAGGAGGAGGCAACAATGCATGATAAGAAATATACTCATTACCTCGCCCATGTAATTGTAACCCCTCTGTACGGTATTTCCACAATAAAAAAAAGAAGTAACAGACAGGTGGATTTTCAGCCAGTAAAAAAAAAGAAAAAAGAGAAGAGAGGAAGTGCATCAGAAATCACAAAAGAGGTGGTAGGACAAGGTACCACAGAATCCTTACCCTGTTTCTGGCTCCCAAGGAGGTGTAGGGGAAGCTGAAAGTTTGGTCACAAGGTCAGACTGTCCTGAGGACAGACTTGCATTCTAGTTATAGCATAAATCAACACGCACATAAGCATTAAACCCAGCATAGTAGGATTTTCTGAGCAGTGAATGCTCCAGTATTGAAGGAAGATATTCCCTTGCTCCTCTCCTTTGGGAAGGCTATAGACAAATGCTATCTTGAAACAGGGTCTATGATCTGATATTGATGGCTCAAGGAATCCAGACACAGCCTGCCACTGCGTCTGGGCAGCAGATGGCCCTGACTATTCAGCTTCCAAGATCTCCTCCTAGCTTGCAAATGTCTGCTGCTAGGTCAGTCAGTAAACCTGAGCCCAAACCCTCTGAGTCACCTGGTATCTTCAGCGTCTTCACAGGGAGGTAGAATTCCAGATATGGCTAGAAAGCATGGAGACCCATCTCTTCAAACTGCCTCCCAGCATATGGTTGCAGCCAGGCACCCCTGAAGGCCTGGGGTCCACATTGCTGAAACTCAGGATTGTCACAGACTCCTGAGCCCCACACAAAAGTGCACTGCTGAGTGAGGTCTATAAGCATTGAAAGAGACAGGCAGAGTTCCCAAGGCCTTCAGCTCTCCTCCTGTTTGAGCAGAAGTCGATGCTGTTTACTCCTTTACTCTTATACACATTTGGGGTTCACCTTGAGGATTAGATGTTTGCCCTAGGGACTTGTCAGCCAATAGGAAACAACCAGGTCTGCAGGTTATAAAGCTCCTCCACAGCCAGCAGTGGCTTTTAGCACACAAAGGAGGGAAACTTTGAGAGTGATAACAGACTAGAAGCGGACAACTGACCCTTCTACAAGAGGTTTCAGCTACTTAACCTTGATCTGAATAGTGTTGGGTATCAGGCCTAGTCCTCTGTGCATGGAAACAAGTTCTTGGCTACTGAGCCATACATATAGTTCCACAGTGAGAAATAGGATCTCAACCTGACAACTACATTGTCCTGCCTGATGATCAGAGATGAGCAATTCTCAATCAATGAAGGAACACAGAAATGTAAAAGACTAAACAATACTGTTCCTCAAAAAATCACAGTAACAAACACCCATGACCGTGAATCATAGGAAATCTCTGACAAAAACATTATTAAAAAGAAAGTAATTGTGAGAATTGTCAATGAAATTGAAGAAGACATAAGAAAGTGGATGAAAGAATTCTTTAAAAAACTCAAACAACGATCTTGATGGATAAGATAATGTAGAATGTGTAGGATAAATCAATGAAGATATTAAAATATTGTACAAAACTAAA